TACACCAAACTACAATGCAGTACAATTCACATTGATGAAGCGCCTTTCACGTCTTGTGGATGTCTCAAAGGGCTTCATAACAACTAACTGATACTCAGGGTTGGTGGGGGAGGTGGGGGGGGGGGGGGGGGGGGAACTGGGAGGGCGGGGTGGAGGGGAAAAGATGACTGAAAGTGCAATTGAAGAGAGTTTTAATCACAAGTTGCATTTAGAACTTAAGAACATAAGAATTAGGAGCAAGGGTAGGCCATTCGGCCCCTCTAGCCTGCCCCCCATTCAATAAGATTATGGCTGATCTATTCTAACTCCACCTTCCCGCCTTACCCCATATCCCTTAATTCCTTTATCCACAAGAAATCTATCAATCTCAGTCTTGAATATGTTCAAAGACTGAGCATCTACAGCCCTTTGGGGTAGAGAATTCCATAAATTCACTACTCTCTGAGTGAAGAAGTTTTTCCTCAACTCAGTGCGAAAGGGCTTGAAAGGGCTAATTTTAAGACTGTGACCCCTGGTTATAGTTTCTCCAACCAGGGGAAAAAGTCTCCCACTATCTATTCTGTCATGCCCCTTAATAATCTGAAAGGTTTCTAGTGATACATGATACACCATTTATATGGTGCCTTTCACATCAGGAGGAGGTCACAAGGCGCTGGACAGTTGGGGGTTTGCACCTGAGCTGGGGGCTGGATGCGGGGGTGGGGAGTGGGGGGGGGGGGGGCAAGGGGGGAAAGATGACCAAAGGTGCAGTCATAGAGGAAAGTCTTAAGTTGGATCTTGAAGGAGTTCAAGCGAAGGGTCTTTGTGATGGAGTTCCAAAGAGTGGGGCAGATAGGCCGATGCGCTCATAATAATTTACATCTATGTGAAAATAGGCAGATTTAAATCGATGAAGTGTACATTTCAATACCAAATCGTACGAGAACTTTTAATTTTTGTAATACGGTCAATTTTGGCCACAATATTTCTTGTATTTGATAATAATAATCCTTGCATTTGCTATCGCCTTATCACGTCGTTGAGACGTATCAGAGAGCTTCACAGAATATACTGTAAAGTGAATTAACTCTATATTTTGTGGGTGATATAGTGCCTATCAAATATTTTGGACACAGCCAGGTCGTATAAGTGAATTATCCATTTATGTGGAGGGTTTTTGGGCCTGGACTTTGGCAAAACCTCACATTTCCTTTCCAATAGTGTCAGCGGGATCTTTACCGTCCGTCTAAACAACCTGTTGGGGCTTTTGGTTTAACGGCTCATCCTAAGGACAGCGCATAAAGGACGGGTTCATTGATTTTGTCAGAGTAACCAGCGCAGTGAAAGAGCAGCCATTGGGTTAAATAGACGCAAAGTGCTGGGGTCTGGCTAAGCGGGAGGCTGTGTCTCGGGGTTACCATTGTTCAGTTCATTTGTTCAGACGCGGCACAGTCAGCTGTACAATCGCACAGCATCTCTGTGCCGCCAGCGCTTTAGCTGTGGGGCAGCTGGGCCGGTCTGTCAGGACAGATGTTCCTTTGACTTCATTCGGGGGCGTTCGGATGCTTGTTTACTGTTACCATGGCAGCCTGGGTTGCTACGGTAACACTGCTGCAGCTCGCTAAGTGACGTTGAATATGTTCATAAAAGGATCATTATTTCTCCTCTTTCTCCCCCTCCGGTTCCCCGTCTACAACATGCCATCTGTTTGAGATTATTTGTCAACTGATGAGAACGATGCATGTGAAGTCTCGCATTGTCTCTGCGAGGGACAGAGATGGGATGTTTCTTTATTAACATGAATGGCGCATTAACAGGTGCTGATGTGCAGGGTGCGCTGTACACCAATGAGAGGATTACATTTCTTTTCCTCCTTTGTTTCTGTCGTCTGATCGGCCGTCATTATCGCCACTCTTTTCAAAGAGTTTATCTCGCTTTGGCATTGACAGATGAATGTAGTAAGCAGGCACGCCTGTGTGTACTTGCTTACACACCGAACTCGGGGTCACGCTGTGTGGTGATGTGCAAGAAGGTTCCAACGCTAATTAACATTACCCCAAGCAGGTAGGTTTCAACCGGGCTGCTCTCCATTACTGTGAGTTAGGTAACCTGAGAGCAGCCTGAAGCTGTGGTTCTGATTTAGGCTGAAACTCCAGCTCAGTACTGGGGGTGTGCCATCCTTCAAGACAAGACTATAAACCAAGGACCCATCTGCCTGTCCTTCAGGTAGACATTAAAGATGGTGTGAGACGATTGGAAAGGAAAACGTAGTTTTACCCAGTGAACTGGGTAGCATTCCTTCAAATGAATTGGCTATTCGCATCAATGCTGTTGTGAGACCTTGATTGGTACAAGTGTTTGATTCAGTGGGGTGCGATTTGAACCATTTTTTCCTATCGCTGTTTGCTCCTCCAAGAAGCTGTCCATTTTGATCCCGATTGCTCTTTCCCTGGCCTGTCTCATACTCTTCCTCTCCATGTGCTTGCCCAGTTCTTTTTTAAAAAATGTCCCAATTGACTTTCCTCTTAACAGCCACCCTGGCAAATCATTCTACCCCCTGAAACTGCCCTAAGAGACTCCTGCCAAAATGAAATGTAATTTATAAATTTGAATTGTATTGTATAACCTCCTGAGTTTGTCAGAACCTTTCCAATTACTCCCCTGGTCACAATCATAAATTCATTCCTCTTGTCCTTGAATCGTTGACCAGTGGGAAGAATTTTTCCCAATTCATTCTCTCTTTCATTATCTGAAACACTTCCACCATTTCACCTCAGTCTTCTTTGCTCCAAATTCTCAGTTCCATAACCTATCGTGGAGTCCTGTAGCTCAGTGGTAAGTGCACTGGTCCACAAGAGAGAGACGTGGGTTTGATTCCTGGCAGGGCGAAATGTTGGGCAGGTTTCCTTACTCCACACTCCTCTGTTTACCTAGCAGTAAGTAGGAACCCAGTTGTTAGCCGATTTGCGGTTCACTTTTCCGGGGGTTTTAATTCCTTCAGAAACAAATAATAATAAATTGGTCACTCAATCCATGACTGTTTGTGAGACACTGCTGTGCGCAATTGGCTGCTGGATTTCGCCCACAAAATATACAGCCAATTTACTTTACAGTATATTCTGTGAAGCGCTTTGAGAAGTCTAGAAGATGTGATAAGGCCCTATATCAATGCAAGGATTATTATCAATGCGAAACGGGAACATTATAGAGTTACATTTATAAAAAATGTAAATGTAAAATATTTTTACTTCAATGATATTGAATAGAGCTGTTCTGAATTGCGTTGGTAATTGATAATTCAAGAGGGTTCAGAATTTCACTGAATTTCTACAGTTTATTGTGATAAAATGAGATGAACTGCTTTTCTCCTGACAAGAGTGTTCTATTAGGGACATGTTAAAGCCAGTGGCTCTGCTCCCATTGCTGGTATGTTTCAGCCAGTGAAGACAACAACAACAACAACAAATTACATTTGTATAACATATTTCACATTGGGAGGCAGTCCCAAGGCTCTGGACCACATCGGAGTTAGTAGGAGGGGATTGGGTGTGATTTCAGCTGTAGATCAAATTGCACTATAATGTAGAATTATACTGTGAATTACTCTACTTCTTACCACGTCAAAACATGTCAAAGTGCTACACACAGTGAGTTTTGTTTGGCACAGTGACTCCTGTCGGAAGTGGTCTCTAGAAGTTTGCTGGCACTTTGACTAACCCCATTTAGTGGAGCTGTGGCCTTGCCCTCATTGCCCTATCGATAGGAGGGAATTACAAATGAAGTTTCCGTTGCCAATCATTTTACTGCATGTCAGTATGGCATTGCCAGCCAGCATGCCCATTTCATGGAATGGAGTGGGGCATTGACATTATTATTATGATAATAAAAATAATAATGTTCCTTGCATTTAATATCGATTATGAGCCTTTCATGTCAGGAAAACGTCTCAAAGAGCTTTACAGGATTTCCTGTAAGCTGGAGTGACTGTATTTTGTAGACGAACATAGCAGCCAATTTGCACACAATATTCCACAAGCAACCGTGGACTGAGTGACCGATTTGGGGGATTATTGGCCAGGACACCGGGAGAGCGAAACTCTCTTCTCTTTTTGAATAGCGTCATGGGATCTTTACATCCATCAGAATAGGCAGAACGGACCCCGGTTTAACGTCTCTTCTGAAGGACTCCACCTCCAACAATGTAACACATCGCAGCATTGTATTGGAGTATCAGCCTAGACTATTTGAGTTCAATACCCCGATGTAGGGCTTGAACCCTCAACCTTCTGATTCAGAGGCGAGATTGCTACTGAAAGAACCAGCCAAAGGGCATTGAGGAAATCAGTGGACAAATTACTGCCGAGTGCTGGACTGGAACTGGAGCTAGTTACAAAGAGGCATTGGGACTGGACACCAACTATCTGCCTACCCTGATGGCTGGAGAATTGAACAAGGAGAATGAAAAGGAGAGGAGAAAAGTCTTTGTGGTGTGGGATGTGGATTCTCCCACAGATGGAGGTTTTTGCGGTTCAGGCTATGTTTCTGCCTTGTGCTTGTCAGTAATTAGTTCAGAAATACCAATTAAATGGCCTAACAAAGCCTTTGTTCCACTCTGGTGCTCTGTGTTTCTTCTGAAGATATCATTTTGATAGAAATAACAGAGCCTTGATGCATCTTTGGACGACCCTCTCTTCCCCCAGCAGAACTCTGCTCAGGTGCCCATCTCCTAACAAGTGCCTCTTTTGGCCGCACTTCAACTTTATGAGATCAACGTCCAAGCAGAGTTTTGGAGAACGGGATTTGCTGTTTGGAAATCCTTTAGCAAATCTTGCAATTTCGCCTCTGGTGTTAACTCTTTGAGTGAATGGTGCCCACCTCATGCTGATATCGGAACCTTCTCTTCAGTTCCCGTTTCCATGACGGCTCTTTTCCCCCCACCCAACCCCCACCAACCCACCCCTAGCGACCAATTCTTATTTTTTTTGTCAAAAATAAATGTAGATTTTCTTTTCTCATTTCAGATTCTGATATTGATGCAGCCACTGCCATGATGCTGCTGAATACTTCCCCTGAGGTGAAAGGAGCAGAATGTGAGTACACAGTACATTGCAATAGAAATATAAAGCTTTTTATTGCAGTGCAGCCTCCTCATACGGTGTTCCTTTGTGATACAAGCCCTCAGAGTTTCTATTTATTTTACCCCCTAATTTCCCCTTTGCCACAACTCCATCCTCAGCTGGGGGTCCCCAAGCATTGGTTCTTGTCAACCTGCGCCTAATACTCTCCAGAATCAGGCAATCAGGGAGAGCGAGCGCATTCCATTCCAAAAATATATTTCTGTTAGTTTCCATGTGTAGTTGGGAGGCATGGAATTCTCAGTATGATTTGGACGCCCTTAAGCATGGTTTCCGCATGTGTCAGACACCCAGCTGGGCAAATGCAAATCAGCTGGGAAGTGCTCCATCTTGTGAACATGGCAGTAGATGCCATCACTCTGCTTAACCTGTTAATTGTTTTCCTTCTCTCTCTCCCTTCCTCCCTTCTCCCTAATGTCCTGGTCAAGAATCTCATGCTTCACAAGATGAAGGGTAAAGGTTTAGGGAAGCGTTATCCGTGACTCTTTGTGGGGAGAAGCACGTGTCTCGTAAGTGGGCATCCTGTCTTCAGTATTGGGAGCGAGCTCTTCTCTCTTGTTCCTGTTGGGTTGAGACATTCTTGACGTTCTTGTTGGATTCTTTTGGTGTGCGCTCTCTCTCTCTCTTTCTCTCTCTTGCTTCCCCGCTCCCAACATAATTAATCCGTTACCTGTTCACTTGATCCAGTAGTAAGTGCAGTGGTTCAGTCCTGCTGGGGTCTACCCTTGGATACAGAATTATATTACTTTTGTCTTCGTTTCTATAAATAACATCTCTTAGGAGCTGCTGAAGTGTTCAGTCAAGTGTCATTCAACACATAAAAAGCGCATTTTTATCAGTTGGTTCTTATGGTTTGGGATTCGTTTGAGTCTGTTCGTTTGACCAGCATCAGGAGTGGGGGAGGAGAGAGTGAATGCTTTATTGGGATGTTTGAGTTGCACGAGCTGGAGCGCCATAACCTATTGAAGAATTGACTGAATCGTTTCACCTTTTTACGGCAAAGCGGCTTCCTTAACGATCAAACTTGACAGATTGCCGTTTCATACCTGTTTGTATCTTTACCTCATGTGTAGCACTGCTGTGAGGGGATCCCTCTCAGCCAGCAATTCTGAATTGAGCTTTCTGAGTGTTACACTAATGGAATACTTTAAGGAGAAGTGGTTTGACGATTGACACAGCAGTTGTTTGTGCAGAGGCAGCTGAGAGAGTCTGCCTGTGAGCAGGGTGACTTGTGCTGGTAATTTTGCTTTGTATGTATCTTTCTTACCATCCTATCGTATTCAGCGTGAAAAATATGTACTGCATTTTGCCCACAAAATATACAGCCAATTTACATTACAGTATGAAGCGTTTGAGGCGTCCCAACGACGTCATAAGGTACTATATCAAATGCAAGGATTATTAATGTTGTTACAACTGGGAAGATAAATAGGGATTCGGCGTTATGTAACCGCGATACTGTGAATTTATTTTGACGTTCTTTGCCGGCAACTACTAAATACAGTCAATATTTAGTATTCAACATATTCAGTAAATTCTGTGAAACATTTTGAGACGTCCTCCAGATGTGAAAGGTGCTGTATCAAATTCAAGGCTGATTATTATTACTCATAAATAGTCTTGAACTGCTTGTTGCCTTGTATCCTTGCCAAGAACTAATTGATGTGAAGCTAACTGTAGATTGCACCAGTCACTTTTGTTCGCAGACTTATAAATGTTTCATGTTGTCTTCCCCCAAATTTTATTTTGTTTTGACTCTAGGTGTCAGTCGGTATTGCTCTCACCTCAGACGTTTTGGGTTCCATCCCCCAAGTGTCGGGACTTTGAGCTCATAGTCTATACCAGGAGAGTCCAACCAGTTGATCGCTGCTAGGTGGTGATTCGCACAGACTCAATAAAACATGAAGGACAGATATTTACTGTAGTTTAAACAAAAAAGTTGATATTTTTATTTACAGATGTACTAACACTGCATCTGGCTTTGTTTTTAATTGGGCTACATATTTATGCAGTTATATCGCTCCTTCCTCTTGTCTTTGTGATCATGTCCGACACACCTAGTGGGGGTCGACAGGTTGGAGACCACTGGTCTAGGCTGAATGGGGCAGCTCTCCGCGAGAATTGCACCATTCTTCCAATAATGTGAAAAATTGAGGTCCTGTCAGCCTGTTCATCTGGTGTGAATGACCCCATGGTGCTATTGGAAAAGAGAAGGGAGTTTTTTCCAGTGTCCTGATCCCCACAGTCCTTCCAGATTATTTGTGTTTCATATCAGGGCTGTTTGTGGGTCCTTGCCGTATTTGCTTATAAATTCAGTCACTCTGCTTGACATTTGGTGGGACATTTTTAAGTTGTAAGCACTGTATTAACCAGAAGAATTATTATTATTATAATAAGTGACTTGTAATAATGACGTCCAGTTTTATAGGCTGGGTTTCTCAATCCTTTTCTTCCCACTTGGCCCTAATGGATTCAGTGGGAATAATGTGGTGAATGAGGCAGGGAGGAAAGGGTGATGCTTTTCTCACCACTTTCCTCTCAACACCTGAGAAACAAGGGCAGAACGTGCTATGCAAGAAAGAATTGTTTTGTCTCTTTTCCCCAGTGACAGTATTGCAGAGGGAACACAGAGCAAGGAAAGTAGAGAGTAGACTGAGGTATACACGGATGATTACTGTGCGCAATTTGCTGTCGCGTTTTGTCTACAAAGTCGATTCACTTCGCAATACACCCAGTGAAGCGCTTTGAAATGTCTCTCAACAACATGATAAAGCGCTATATCAAATGCAAGAATTACTTTTATTATTATACGTACAATGTGTTTTAACATGAGATTTGAAACCCTGGAACCTTGTGCATGTTTTGCAGTATTGTTGAAAACTGTCGGACTCGTCGGTTCCTGTGCCATCTCCTCCTGACATTGACTGCTTTCGGAAAGGTTTTATTCATCACTTCCACCAACTTTTATTTTCAAAGGAGACCTGCGTGATCGCTGGCCACGGTTCTAGTTTCACAGCTCAGCGGACACTCAGTCTCCCGGGACCTGGGCTGTGATTGTGTTACACACTGCGGTCTGTCAATCATCATCCAGGGACAGGGTCAGTCAGAGTGACTGATACTCAACCACCGCTACATACTTTTCATATCTGAACACTAATAGCCAATTGTACTGAAAGCCTGGGCCAGCTTACATTGCATTATATCGTTGTCTAGTCAAGAGGCAGCAATCATGACAGGATCAATTGACGTTATGACCTGGGGGGGGGGGGGGGCTGACCTTTGCATTACCACGTGGCAACTTCACCCGAACCGATCACTGTGGGGGGTAGGGGTGGGGTGCAACCAGTGTGAAATGTCTGCTCTCCTCTGCATGTGGTCTTCCTGAGTAATTTCCCCTTAATTATTTGCAGTAGAATTGGACGGCCTCCCGATGTGAAAGGCGCTACACATAAATACAATTTTTGTTGATGTTGTTGGTACAGTTATTGGTCCAAAATCTTTGAACAAAGTTTTGTAAGGATGTTGTCTGGTTTTGTAGGAACGTTGACGACTGTTAATATTGCCTTGTTAAACAGATTTCCTGATTAAGATATCTGGATTTCCTGCGATGCCATATTGCCACTCCAGCGCCATCTATGATCACGATTCCTTTAAGTTAGAGTGTTGGTTATGGTTGTAATTCAGATGGACCTGCTGTATGGAGTCCTATAGCTTAGTGGTTAGAGCACTCGCCTCGCAAGTGAGAGAATCTGGGTTTGATTCACGGCAGGACAAAACGTTGGGCAAGTTTCCTTACTCCACACGCCTCTGTTTACCTAGCAGTAAGTAGGAACCCGGTTGTTAGTTGATTGGCGGATTGCTTTTCTGGGGTAATAATTCCTTCAAAAATAATAATAATAATAATTTGGTCACGACTGCTTGTAGAACAATGCTGTGTGTAATTGGCTGCTGCGTTTTGCCCACAAAATATACAGTCAGTTCACTTTACAGTTTATTCTGTGAAGCGCTTTGAGACGTCTAGAAGACGCGATAAGGCGCTGTATCAAATGCAAGGAGTATTATTGTTACTGTCATAAAGTGATGTATAGAATGTGTTGGTATAAAATAAATGTAGAACAACAACAATCTGAGACGCTGCCTCGTGTGAAGGGTGCTATATAAATGCAAGTTGTTGTATTCTCCTTGAAAATAATTGGTTGTGCAACAGTCTTTCTGGCAAATGGTAAAAGGTAAAAGGTGCAGAAGCTAAATCATTAGTACATAAGCCGCATACACACACCACATTTTATAGTAAATCTATATCCATTTAAAAAAAATGATTTAGTCGCTCAATCCACGACTGTTTGTGGAGTGCTGCTGTGAGTGTGTCACACACAAAATATGCAGTCAATTCACTTTACAGTATATTCTGTGAAGCGCTTAGAGATGGATTAAAGACGTGATTAGGCGCTTATCAAATGCAAGGATTATTATTATTATTTTCAATACAGAACAAAAATCAAAGCCTAACACCGCACAACATGAGACTTCTAAATGAACAATAAACTTGTTAATTCTGAACTTGCATCTGGTGAACTTGACTTGATCTTTACCTCAGAGAGCAGAGCCTATGACCAGTTCTGTTTCCAGAGCATTCCCCTGTAAATCGCTTCAGACATATGTTTGCATTTTACGTGCTTTTTTCCACTTAATTATTTGCCTTGTTTTCATGGCCAGGAATACACGTAGCCCAAAGTGCATTCTTAGTTTAACGCAAAGAAAGTACATAGGCCCAGAGGGAGACTTGCGGAAAAGCATTATAAGCAATGTTGTGTTACCTCTGGGACGAGAGTTCAAGCCCAGCCCCTGTAGTCCAGCGGAGACTACAGTTGCTCTCTAATATCAGCACTAAGTAAAATGAGTGTTGTGATTTAGTTTCAATCCTGTTCCCAGTGGACAAGACTTCCCAAAGCAGAAAACAGTAAGCCGATAAATAATTTGTACTAATGCAGGAGTGCATTTGATTGGTAAGGGCCTTTTAGTGTAAATTATGCTGCTTTTTAAAGCCTATTTTTTTTAAAAATCATTAAACGTGCATCCTCTTTGAAAGGAATTAGTAGTGCAGTTTGGTATGTAGTAGTGGCAATTTGCCTTTAGCTCGCTGCTGAATAAGTACCCATCTTTACTCTCTTACCCAGTGGAGCTGGGGTCTTCTTGTCCACTGGAGGTTCCTGTCTGGGTTGAGCCTCTTAGGCTTGCGTCTCACTGGCTGCGATTGAGGAAGGCTGTACTGGGCTTGGGAGGGCCAGACTGGGCTTGGGAGCACTGGGTTGGGTTTCAGAGAACAGGAATCGATATGGCGGACTTCCAAATTGCCTTTGTGAGGGAGCACTTTACATTGAAATTACTTTGCTTTTGGTAGCATTCGCCCTACAGAACACACAGCAACTGCACTTTATATTAAATCCTGCAAAGTGCTTTGAGACGTCCTCCTGATGTGAATGGTGCTTGGATGGCAATGATTTGCAATGTCTTTTGATCATGAGCTGACCATAATGACCACCTCATCCATCATCCCTTCAGTCTTCAGGATGCTCACAATTTGCTACTCATCAGCCTCCCCTGTTGCTTCAGACCTGTTACATTGCACTTTCTTTGTTATTGTCTAGATCCTGTGGGAGTAATACCAAATGGAGGTCGGGCATTCAGCCGAGGCCCATTCATTGGGATAAAGCCACTGCCAATTAACAGCATTGGAAGCATGGCCGCTGCAGTAAGGTAAGAGGCCTGGGGTTCACCACCCATCGCATGCAAACATTAGTGCTCCAACTGTTAAAGCCACGCTTGTTGCTACAGTTACTTCACTTTGCTTCTAGTGAAGCTGTCAAACTTGAATTTGTTTTACATAGAAGTAACGAGCATGCTAGAGGTAGTATGTCACATTAGGACTTGGAACAAATACCAAGGAAAGGTCCAAATTTTCCTCCAAATGAACCAAGATATAGGATCTCATTGTAGATATGGTCAGGGTTCCTTCTCCAGTCAGGCAGAATCAATTGGGAGATGGACAGATACTTGGGAAGTATGGTAGTAAGGTATGGAGGAAATGGGTTTAAAAGATCCGCATGATCTAATAAACTGACAGTAGAGGTTTGATGGACAGAATGGACTCTTTCTGTTCCTTCAATACACAGAAACCGTTAGCACTATCAGAAGCAAATCAACTTTAATCCCTTACCTGCTTACTCTAAGGATAACACCCATTACTAATATTAAGATACACAAGTTACTAGCTCCCATATACTGATCAAGCTCAGCAGGATGGAATCTCTCCTCTTGTTACTCTCCATAGTTCTATGAAAACTTAGTGCAATCTTTTGCTTCAGCAGTTTGCATTCAGTTGGGGTTCATAGTCTGGTGGAAAGAGTTGCCATCAACGAGAGTGTTGGTTTGACTGTATTTCTTCTACTGAATCATATCAACACGTGGCATTTCAACCTATTGGTTTGTATTAGAACATCGTCTAAAGTCATCAAATGTTACATGCCCTCATTCTATTCCCCTTTGGTTCCCACATTTGGGAAGAAATTCCACTGAGTCTATTAGGTAGCATTTCAGAGCATCCAGGATTTGACAAATTATTAAATTCAACCTTAACTAATTTGTTGATTTTCTGTAATTCTTAAAGGAAACTTACAGAAGTCTATTTAAGAATTTGCCAAATTTTGGATGCGCTGAAATACAACACAGAGAAATCTTGACCCAGGTAGAATTTCTCTCCAAATATTCCTCCATCTCTCCAATGTACCCACTTTTTGAAGCTATCAGATGGTACATTTGTGTGGTTTTTATAGTATGATTCAGGTGGAATATCAGACTTTAAACGTTCAACTATAATGTGGTGACGTGTGGAGCCCTCGGGTTATAGAAATGTATCCTCTGTGCATTCAGTGCTAACACGTGTGCTGTGTATCGATACGGCTATATTTTCACATAGCGATACAGGGCAAATTGAAGTTGAGGTACAGATCAGCCATTATCTAATAGAATGATGGAACAGATTAAAGGGCTGAATGGCCTATTCCTGTTCCTATGTTCACTTGATGTGGCTTCCATTGGAGTTTCTTGTATGTTGAGTTCAAAATGCACAAACCATTCACATCGATTGATGAAATCCGGAGACTCACTACAATAACGGACATATTATTACATTTGTTGTTTGTTTTATTATTTAAGTTTTCACCCCCCTCCCTCCCCCCTTAGCTGTTAGTGCTCCCCTCCTTTAGGTCTCTCTCCGGTGCATGCCTCCCATTTGAAAGGGTGAGGAGGCAACCTGCTCCCAGGCCACTGCTGCTTTATAACTTGAGCTCAAAGGTGTGCGAGAGCAGCTTGTGTGACTCCAGCCGCCTGTTTATTTAAAATGATTTCCCCTCCCTCCCTGTAGGGAAGCTCTTGGCACCTCCCTCCGGCAACCCGGCCGAGATTGGGAACACAGCATATGGGGGATTGCAAGCAACGTATATTCACAGTGGTATGTTGTGTCTTTCTTTCAATATTGATTATTGAAAGGGGGATGTTACCCCTTTTTATATAAGGTTAAAATACAACTTATTATGTTTAAAAACTCTTTTCATTTACCTCTACAATTTTTTTCCCAATGCTTGAGATGCGTGAGTAAATGTCTAGATGTTAAGTAACGTTTCAATAGATTAAGAAGTGCATTGTGACACCTTTTTGTTTGCAGCGAAAGTTCAAGTACTGCTGTGCGCAATTGCCTGCTGCGTTTCGCCCACAAAATATACAGTCAAGTCACTTTACAGTATATTCTGTGAAGCGTTTTGAGACGTCTTGAAGACATGATAAGGTGTTATATCAAATGCAAGGATTGTTATTATAAATGGTTTGATAACTGGCTATGACTGTGAGCTCCTTATTCACAACATTCGACCCCAAACACTATTGAAATTTATTGCATTAAATTGTGTGATAAATTCTCTCTGAAATCTCTAGTCAGCATTCCTAACCATTAGTATGATACTAGGGATTGGTTAATCCGACTATCTTTTATGGTTTTGTTGAGCATGTTCCAGGCGGGGAGCACTTGGTTCCAACAAATCTAGGAGCCAAATTTTTTTTTTTAACATATGGAGCTAAATATAGGATAGCATGTGAGGAGCCAGATTTCAAAGGCAAATAGCACTTTGGCAACTAATAAAGTAACCACTGTAACCAAGCTCTTGGCACCTTCTCCCTCCGGCAACCCGGCCGATTGGGAACTCACCATATGAGGGATTGCAAGCAACATATACCATAGTGGTATGTTGGGTCCTTCTTTGAGACTCGAATAGACTGTTTCTGTTTCAGGCCCTCCAGGCACTGAATTGATGGTGAATAATTGTAAATTTTGTTTATAAAAAACGAGTAAATATAACCGCTCGATTTTCACATTTATTTTATTATTTTGCTATGCTCAGTGTAGACATTACAGCACAGCAGGAGGTCATTTGTCCCATCAAACCTAAACTAGTCCTGGTCAAGCACTCTGGGACGCTAACCTGCGCGAGGGACGCTGTATAAATATGAGATGTGTTGTTGTTGGTTCCCTCACTGGAGTTAACTACTCTAATCCCAACCTCCTGTTCTGTCCTGAAAACCTTTTATGTTTTTCCCTCTTCAAATGTTGATCCAATTCCTTCTCAAGTGTTGTTGTCTGCACCTCCATAGCCACTCGTAACAAAGCACTCCATATACTCTGATTACACTCTGTCACTCATCTCTGCTTAACCATGGAAGCTGTAGTTGAAGCAAAAAGTGGTAACTTGATGCACACACAAAGGAGAAGGGACTGGAGAAGTGGGTGTAGGAGAGAAGATTCGGGGAGGTGGAGGCTTGTGTGGAGTATAAACACCATCATGGATTAGTTGGGCTGAATAGCTCATCGATCTATTTATATTTACATGCAACTGTTCCATTGACAATTCTGAGCTAATGCCCCATTGTTAGTGATTTATCAGCCAGTAGGAATAACCTCTTAAAATCTTTCAGAATTTTGAATATCCCTTCTTAATCTTTGCTGTTCCAGTATAAATCTAGACTTGAGTTTGCAAGTCAATCCTCGTACCTATAACCTTGCACCCCTTATATCACCCACAAGCTCTTTCCATGGCTCTGATGTCCTTGGGACACCACCCTGCGTGAGCGCACTACATAAATGCAAGTTGTTGTTGCAATGGACAGCTAGCTAGAAGTCACAAATACTCCAAAGTGTGGCCAAATTAATAACGCCTCCTTGCTTTTGTATTCATCGCCCCAGTGCATGTAAAATGTTCTTTTAATGAGCGCCATCCATTGACCTCGACTTTCTTTCCTTCCTACCCTGGTCAGGAACGGAATTGCAAACTGCCGGATGCGGACCGACAGCGAGCAGTCGTGTGGCTCTCCGGTGGTGAGCAGTGACCCCAAGGAGGATCACAATTACAGCGTGGCCAAATCTTCCAACCACCGCAGCTCCTCCCCCAACAGCGACTCCACCTCCTCCTCCTCCTCCTCCTCCTCTGCCGACGATCATTACGAGTTCGCGGCCAAGGGCAGCCACGAGGGGAGCGAGGGCAGCTACCACAGCCACGAGAGCTACAGCGAGGCCGAGGAGGAGGAGAAAAAGCACAGCAGAAAGGAGAGCAAGGACTCGCTGGCCGACAGCGGGTACTTATCGCAGCACAAGAAGCGGCAACAACAGCTGACTAAAACAAAAAAAACTCCGAGCGACACACTGCCCCTTAAAAAGAGGCGCACGGAAAAGCCACCCGAGAGCGACGACGAGGAGATGAAGGAGGCGGCGGGCTCGCTGCTGCACTTGGCGGGGATCCGATCCTGTCTGGATAACATCACAAACCGCACTTCAAAAGGGCAGAAAGAGCAGCAGCATTCAGCGAAAAATTAGGACCGTCATGTACAGACAGCCTCTTTTAGGACTGTTGGCAGAAATGTATTTTCTTTCAGCGCGTCAGGTGAATTATAATAATTTGTGGCAATATCAACAATCACTTTGTTTTCCTATCTTTCGACGACTCCCCACCTTCCTGAGTTTTTTTTTAAAAAAAACAAGTTTTTGTTTAAGGAGATTGAAGCCATAGCAAAACTTTACTGACACTCAGATAATTTGTAAAAGCTTTTCATTGACTGACAACGAAAGCCAAAATCACTGCACCTTTTTCTCTCTTTGTTTCTCTTTTCTTTTCCTTGCTCGCTCTCTCTCTTTCCCTCTCTCTCTCTCTCTGTTCATTCTTTTGGCCTGATTTATACTGGTGCACCCAGAGCTGGTTACAATTGACAGCAGTGGGAGTTTGCAGAAGAGAATCTATGGTTTAGATTTCCCTGATGGTCTAAACAGGGGACGGGATGCATTGGTGAGAGATGTGGCCATATGGAATGTCTACAGAGCCTAAACAGCACTATGCTCACAGCCATCTCGTGGCAATCGTAACAATACAAGAGACACACCGCTGAAGATTGCGTGGGGGTTGGGGGGGGTGTTGATTGGAGGTAATTGCACTTAGATACCCCGCTTTGGGGGTGGGTTTGAAGATATAGCGGTTGGCCACAGTTATCGGGTCAAAGAAAACGGAAAAAAAAGTGAAAATGTTCTGTTTAAGAAGAGAGAGAAAGAGAGAAACAAAGTCCTGCCTTCAGCCAACCCTACATATTTCTGTCTTCGTAAAACCACATCCAAGCCATATGCCTGATGGATGGCACCAGTGCGTGTGTGGGGGAAAGAGAACCACTGCCTACGTGAGGACATGAATGAGAGCAATCAAGTCTTGCGAGGGAATGTGCGACGGACGACTTACCGAGTGATCGTGGTACCAATCCTTTCTTCAGATCAAAGCAAGCGCATCGCGATCTAGCCGTTACGAGGAACTTCAGAACACAAAACGAGAAGAAAACACACAGACGCACACACAGACAGACACAATGATGAGAAGCTCTCAAGCCTGCCATTAGTATTATTCTGAAAAAAAAACAGAATTGGTGAAAAGCGATAACCGTGAGCTCCTCCACTGCCCTGGAACTGGAGTAACACAGTTTTTCTCAAGTCAGAACCGTGTATAATATGAATAATAATATGAATAATAATAAAAAAAGACAATTGATTTTGGAATATAATCAACATTAGCCAGCAAAGGATTTATCCAAATCCATGTTGCATGGGTTCTTTGAACAAAAACGTCGTTTTTTTATTCAAAGACAAAAACAAGTTCATGTAAGGTAAATAATGTATTTAGCATGAGCATGAATTATTTTCATATAAATATAGAAAATAGAGAAAGGCTATGCCTCTAATTTTTAAACCCTTAGACCTAGGTTTTTTTTTGAAGCAGGTGATAAGGTTTAACCTTTTTTTCAGGGAAAAAAATACTGACTGTTGGGGAACTTACTCTGCAATATGAAGACTTCAAATTTCTGGTAGGGCTGTGGATGGTTGAATATACTGCCTTGTCTGCACATTCGGGCCCCGCTACAGGCTTTAAGGTATAGAGGACATTCTAGTAGTTTCCCTGTATAGAGTACGGGGCAAGAGGGGAGAGAGAATGTATGTCTCCCCAACCCCACCCACCCACCACCACACCGGTCAGTGGTGAGTGTGCATGATTTATCAAGCTTCCTCAAATTAAAGCGCGGAATATTTGGGTGTAATGATGGATTGAATTATCAATATTATATATTGGCAATGCATCATTAAATGGCACCTGAAAGTGCTGCTCATTTAGAATCAGAAGAATGGTCGATTTCGCCTTTTTTTTGGAATTCAATCCTGTGCTGTCAATTTTTAAATAAAAAGGTGGGAGAGGACAGGAGAGCAACTGGCTAAACCCCGGTTACTTTGACATTGGCAGAAGAGAGAGAGTGTGTCAGAGGTTATGTTTTTTATTATTTAATCAAATCTTTGTACATCCGCGGAGATGGGAAAACTGCACAATCAGTGGGATTGGTGAATGCCCACAAGTCATTCTTGGATATTGCCTGACCGACCTGTAGTGTGGACGGAGCCCATTCCTGCGTATTCACGCACTGTAAACACGTTCATTCACACTCACTGCTCGACCATTCCTTCTGGAAGTTGTGAATCATGAGACAGAACCCACTTTCCTTTGGCCTATGTAAACAAGAATTGAGAATCACAGAAAATCGAGCTCTCCCCTTTCCCCTCTCCCCTCCGTTTCCTTTCCCCTCTCCCCCTCCTTCACTCCTTTCCTCCCCTCCCCCCCAAAAATGCCTTATTTAATGGCAACGGCCTTTGTAAAAAAAAATCCAGTTTAAATTCTATAATGTAACAGTCACATACACAAAAAAATGGCAGCGGTTTTTTTGCAGAGATATTATCTTGGGCTGCATTTGTAGAATGCAGTGAAACTTTGTGATCTGGCTGAGAGCAGTTTAAAAGTATTAATTATTGTTTTGATTTTATTTTTTAAAAAGAAAGCCTCGTTAGCATTAGTAAAAGGGATACTGTCTTTTTTAAACACAGAAATTGGGTAATTTACTACGGAGATGGGTTGTTTGTGCAAATATGTGATTTTTACTGTGAAGGTTCTTTTTTTTATTAAAAAAAATCATGTGCACCGTTGATATTATATGGCGGTCAGAGATCTGCAATGTCGAGAAGGAGATGGGAGAGGAACGGACTTGAAATTCCGAAAAGAAGCAAAGTGTTGTTATCTGAGCTGGCTTTGACCTCAACAGTGATGTGTTAGAATTTGGCAACTGCCCAAACCTTAGCAAGCAAGCTACATTTCCCTCCCTCAGTTAGCCATTTCGTACCATAGGACAAAGTGGAAGATCACTAGAACATCCTGGGTTCCAAAGTGTGCAGGGAGCAGAGGCACCTTTCTCACAATGGGAAACAAATGCATTGGCCTCTACAGAACAACCAAAGTCACCTTCCTTCTCGCATTGAGTTGTCACTTAACCCGCTCTAGTGTACTCTGATAACTTCACCTTCTCATGTTGAACCATATAGATGAGGATTCCAACATGGAATTCCTCTTGTACCCTACTAAGATGCTGCTGGTTTAGATGCTGGAGCAGAGTTTCTTGTGTGTGTGTGTGTGTGTGTGTGGCATCAAACCTGTTTTGCTTTGCTTCCATTTGATGTGGTCCATGAATGGGCTATCCCTATTGATTGGATGATCACCCTCTCCTTCCAGTGATGTATATCCATGACCAATGGTCAATAATCATGCTTAGTGGCTTCAACCTTTTAATAGCTGGGAAGACTGATGAAAATAGCTGTGTGGAGTTTCTACCTCCAGTTCCTTTTATGAAGCACATCTCTATTTGGAAAGTGCTTCGTCTGTACAAGGCACTCGGGTTGGGTCTTATGCCCAAATAGAGGCTCGTCAACAGGATTGAACTCAGGAACAGCCTAGATGTTACAAGGATCTTTGGTTTAAAGCTGTTCAAAGCTTTATCTAAGCAGACCATGCCACTGTGGTGAAATATGAATAAACTCGGGCCATAATATGCAAGTTCTCCTTCCCCCATTAATTTCCATTCCAGGTGTCTCCATGCCATTGACCCTATATGGATGATGGTCTGGAGATCCTTCAAAGCCTCTTTACTGGAAAAGCCACCCCTGAGATTCAGTCCATGTGAGTAGATGCTTCCAATTTGGGAAGTTGTCAGCCTTCGGATTGCTGCTGTGGGGAAAGCTATCCTACAGCATGGAATCGCTGATGGAGAAAACATGTTATTTTCCTTAATTAAAGTCTCATTCATTGAGCCGACTTAACTTGATGCACCAATCACTCTGGGGTTCCTTTGCTCCAGATCAGATTCCAGTTCAGCTGGGCATTTGCCAACTTAGCTTGTAATCTTGAGTGCTCAGAAATTCAACTTTTAGAGTGCAGGTGAAGGATTTACCCATTGGCTATGTACCATGACAAAAGCAAAGCTTTGCATTAAGAGCACGAGGGAAATGGAGCTTGATCTGGCTGTTAATGAGCTTCTTTTGGTTAATAAAGAATTGGAAACGTAACAGGATGTGCCAAGGTATCAAATGAAATCACCTAGAGGCGTTTGTATGATTTATTTCCCCCCCCCCAGCCTTATCCTATGGTATGCTGAGGAGCACTTCATTCAAAGTATGAGGACTACTGCGCCTAAAGTTCAGTAAACTACCTTTATAGCGATACAAGAGGCCAAGTTTGTTTGTTTTGATATTTGATGATATGAAAACTGCCATGTTCTTGTTTTGTGAGGAGAAAAAACTATTGACTACTTTTTAAGTTTTCCTTATTTCTTTCGCAATGCGAGCAGTCAGAAGGCACGTGCAATCAGCCAACCTTCAAGAAATCTGTTAAAGTCGACACAGAGGCATACTTGCATTCTACATTTCCTTGATGTGTAATCATTTTGCCAAAGACAAAATATTCATCAATTGTAAATATCACTTGTCCATTATATGAAAAAAACTTTTCTTGAACCTACCATAAAGTTTCTGTGATGTATTGTCTTCCAGTCGCAATAAAAAATTACAAGTTGCATCAATTGAAAACAAAAATTGGCTTCTTTGGTTGAGTTTGGTGTGCACCTTGCTGATCCAGGAGTAGTTTGTGACCACATTTCTCACGTGGAGACAAATCCAGCAGGAATAATGGATACTATATCAAATATCACCTGCTTGAATCTAAGGCATAGGCATATTTTAGAGGGGAGGGGGCGAGTGAAGGAGGGAAGTGAAAATAATATTATGCCAATTCTAAGGTATCAATTCTAAAGTGCGCTCTGATTTTGGAGGTACTGTACTTGTTAATGAAAAAAACACTCCTTAGATTTGAGTAAATATGGTATATTCAACAATTCAATAACACCTGATTGAATACTGAATGAGATGAGTTGGGCAAAAGGTTGAGCCAAGTTTGGATTGGAGATACTTTGATGATGTAATGTTTTGCTGGATTCAATGAAGGAGAGGGTAGCAAGAAAATCCCAGTGCTTTGCAACACTGTTCAAGAAACTTTACGTCTCAGATGGTAAGTGGCACATAAGATGATGAATGGGATGGAGAAAATGAATCCAGAACAACATTTTAAGCAGAACGAGGGCACATGTTTAGGGGCTGCAAAAGGGAATTTTAGGACAGACACCGTTTTTCTCTCAATAATTAGTTTACGGAAAAGGTGTTTTTGAGTTCAGGATTTGGGACTCATTTCAGAAACAGTTTGTAATAGGAAGACGAGAGTTGGTGTTCAGGAAGAATGAGATCAAAGGGCCTCCTTTACCTGAACCTCTCCCGATTTTAGGATTGGAAGTAAAAAAAAAATTCAGAAGGTAAGTGTTATAATCGTTGCATTTAAGAAAACTCCTTTTGTCGTTGATGCATCTCAAAGTGCTCCACATGGTTTTACTGTGAAGTGATTGTATTTGTAGGCAAACGCAGCAGCCAATCTGCACACAGCAATGTCCCACAAATAGCCACAACCAATTTTATCAAGTGTCGGTGGGGAATCAGGTGAGATTAATTCACATTGATCTGTATCAGCTATTATATTACTCTGCCTCTGATTTTTCCTTTTGCTATTATAACAAGCAGCTGTTTAAGGGACACTTTATATAGAGTTTGAGGGAGCTTTGGAGACCCAACAGTATTGAACTCAAATGTAATGCAATGAGCTATGAAGAAGGGTAAGAGAAACATTGATTTGGTCTTAAAATAAGATACAACAACAACTTGGATGTATATAGCGCGCTCCACGCCGGACGGCGTCTCAGAGCGCTTGATGGTTAAAAGTGGTGGTTGGAAGGGGAGAAAGAGATGAATCTCATATATAAATTATATAAAGAATGAAAGGTACTCAAAGTAATTCAGAACATTACACAGAAGTAAGGCAAGAAAGTAGAAAACGGAAGCAGTAATTACAAGCAACTTGTATTTCTATAGAACATGTGCTTAAAGTAATTTCTTGAAGCACAATTGACCTATGTTATCTACCAGGTAAATTACTAAAGGCAAAACAAAATTGGGTATTTCAAAATAGAATTTACAATAATGAGAAGCTTAGTGCACTCGAGAGATAAGCTTCAGTGGGCTTGAATAGCTCTTTCACATCCCCAAAGATGTTCTCAATGTTGTTTTTTCTGCACAACAATGAAACATGCAACTGAATGCCCAATGGTTTTACAATTGTGCTCCATTTAATGCTTCAGCAGTGGAGAAAGGTTGAGGAGGAAGCTTCCCCTGGGGTATATCAACAAGATCTTGATACGATTTAAGTGTGTGCGTGACACTGGTGGCTTTTGCACATTCTGTATCTGTTGGTCACCCTGCACCATCTAGGATGAACGAGGGCCTTCAACTGTGCAGATTGATGCAGTTTTTCCCATGGCGAATTGCGATGCACGGAATACATGTCTGATCTAATTACGGGTCTGTCAGGTTCAATCTGCAACGCTTAGCTTCAGATCAAGCACTGCAGTGGTAAGTTTTAGCTGGTTAAAATCCTTTAGTTACCCCCAGTTCACACTTTGGGTTCCCAAGATAATTTATGCCTAAATTCTCCAGAATTAGGTAAGCAGGAGGCATCCTCTGGGATGAGAGCGTGTATTCAATAATGATGGCTGATGGAAATCATACAAACAAAGCATGCCAACAGTCACCTTCCTCCAAACTTCCCCTCCCTCCCTGCTCAGTGTCTGTAAAATACTTTGAGAGGTTAGCCTACGTGAAGGGCGATGTAATGTGAAAGTCAGTTGTTATTTGTGCGGAATTCTCAGTCATTTGGTTTGGAGACTTTTAAGCATGGCAATGGGTTTCTCAAACAACAAACACAGTCAGTGTTTCAGACGCCCGGCAGACCAAATAACAACCTATGTTCTTAGTCAAAGGCTGATAACCTTTCCTTTTCTAACTTAATTGACATTTCTTTTGGATTGTGGAATGTGAGAAACTGCCACAGCCTAACCTTCCCACCACCAAATAAAGATGGGGTTCACTGGTACCATCCAGGAGGAGGAGGAGGAGAGAGGGCATGATTTACAAGCATTGAGAATCTGTCCTAAACTAGCTAGAGATAAGGGTATCCTCATCACCAATTGAAATGTTCTCTAGCTAAGATCCCACAGCCACACAAATAATTAATGTCTGCACTTAACCCCGTTGAGTCGCTGCTAGTGCTGGAGGATAATTCCTCAAATATATTTCAGCCACTGTGCCGCAAAGTCTGGAACTCTCTTCCTCTATCCCTCTGCCTTGCGCTTTCCTTCCCCAACTTCAGGTTGCGCCTGAAGACCTTCCTATTCGACCGTGCCTAAGGTCACCTCCCCCTAGCTCGGCATCGTGCTCTGCCACTGTCAAGCTCTCTGTGAAGCTACCCTGTGTGAGGGGCGCTAAATAAGTGCAAGTTGTTGTACATTCTCCTGGAAAATCCTGAGTAAAGGAATATGGAGCTCAGAGGAGGAAAGGCGAACAGAGAGTTGAGTGTTAATTGAATTAGCGCAGTGGAGAAAGCTACCCAGGGAGGTAGATTGTTACTGCAAATTCAAGAGGAAATCAGATAGCTACTTGACAAATAATTCAATTGACGTTATTTAGGGCTTAAATTCCGCTGGTCTCGTGGGATATGTTCCATGTATTGTGTCCACCAACAGCTTATTGGACACTAGCTTATTGGAAACCTGTGTGAGATTATTCTTTCACTTTGTTCACATGCACCCACCTGTTTCTATTGCAAACCAACCTATTTAATACATCTATTCAATTGTTTTTTTTTGAAAGATACGAAGATGCCAACTCATGATCATTGGGATTGTATAGTAATCCTTTGCATTTGACAAAGAGTTTGCAATGTTGAAACATCCCAAAGTGTAATTTCGATCCAGTGTGTCGACTTTTTTTTGTAGGCAAGAGGGATTCATACGAAAGAGGTGATGTTAGCTGCACAAAATGTTAAGAGATAATAAGAGTTTAATCGCAGATGGCAGAAAGGAAGATGGAAAGAAAAGTTTCAGCCCTTCTGTGCTGACAAGGACATGGAACAAACGGGTAAGTCTCTGGCTGAACTATTATAAATGTGTGAGATGTGATGACTGATAGTTTGGATGGATTTTTCACTGAATTCACAAAGGATGACTGCAGACAGATCCTAGATACAATTATTGCAGCTAAGGAAGTGTGGAGTTAGTAAAGGATTGCGTTAATAAAAGGATTAAGCCTCTACAAAGCACCTGGCTAGATAGGTTTAACTGAGAATCCTTAAGGAATTAAAGCAGGAAATCAGCGAGTATCTTACTGTCTTTTACAGGAGCTCAGTGAATAGTTCAGTTGTGCTGAGGGAGAGTGAATGTTGTAGTTGGTTAGGCATGAAGCTGGAATTACAGGCCAATTAGCCTAAAACCCACAGCGAGGAAGATGTTTAAGAGCATTATGCGAGATGTAATTCGTGCTCATCCAAAAATGACTTGAATTGAGGCATCAGTCAACCTGCTTGGATTAGAAATGTCATGCAAATAGTCAAGTGTCCCAACCTTGTAACCAGTGCTATGCTATTGTGTATGTTGAGTGAAATAGACTTATTGTTCATGGGTTAGATGTAAGTCCAGGTCCCGGTGGTAGAGTAATATCTTCAGATTCTTTCCCCCCAGCCCCTCCCTCCGTCTCCCATTCCATCTCATTCCCCCCCATTCTAAGTCTTGCTGCAGAACTATAAGAATAAGAATAATAATCCTTGCATTTGATATAGCGCTTTTCACGTCGGGAGGACGTCCCAAAGCGCTTCACAGAACACACCGTAAAGTGAATTGACTGTATATTTGTGGGCGAACGCGGCAGCCAATTGCGCACAGCAATGTCCCAAAAACAGTCGTAGGTTGAAAATGACCAATTTTATTATTATTTTTGGTTTTGGAGGGATCATTATTAGGAAACTTGCCCAAGGTTTCGCCCTCTGCCTGGAATTGAACTCAGGTCTCTCGCTTGCAAAGCGAATGCTCTAACCACTGAGCTACAGGACTCCACTACCTCTTCGACCGTGTCATAGATCCCTCCACCTCCAGCACGGTGTCCAATCTCATCACTCTGAGTTGTTTTCCCAACATGTGGGGGGAGAGAAAGAACAAGAGCAGAGTAGGGCAGCCCTTACATTAAGAGCCAACACCCTCTTGTGTGAATTTGTGCAATTGCAAACTAACAGGAGTGAAATAAAAATGTATAAATGCAAGTCGTTGTTGTGTAATTATCCAATTTCCACTCACAGGTGTGTTCTTCACTACAATCAATGGTTTTGAAACTTGCCAATTAATAATAATATAATAGCAATCCTTTGCATTTGATATAGTGCCTTATCACATCTTTGAGCCGTCTCAATGTACTATAAAGTGAATATACTGTGCATAATTGGCTTTCGCTTTCGCCCACGAAATTTAGTCAATTCACTTTACAGTATATCCTGTGAAGCGCTTTGAGACGTCTCGAAGACATGATAAGGCGCTGTATCAAATGCAAGGATTATTATTATTAAAATTTACTGTATATTTTGTGGATGAAATCCAGCGATCAAATGTGCA